TCTGTCAGTCAATTCTCAAGTCTGTACGAAGATTATTAACCGAGATATAGCTATTTTTTAAGAAATGACGGCGGCCATTTTTGAATTCAAGATGGCGGCCGAAAACGCCCTTGGATCACATGCATCACGTTGTTGTATGAAACAGTAACCCAAATTACGTCTGTCAGTCAATTTTCAAGTCTGTACGAAGATTATTAACCGAGATATAGCTATTTTTTAAGAAATGACGGCGGCCATTTTTGAATTCAAGATGGCGGCCGAAAACGCCCTTGGATCACATGCATCACGTTGTTGTATGAAATAAGAACCCAAATTACGTCTGTCAGTCAATTTTCAAGTCTGTACGAAGATTATTAACCGAGATAAATTCAAGATGGCGGCCGAAGTTGTAGTTGGATCGCGTGTGTCCTGCTTTTAAATGAAAGAGCATACAAAAGTATGCAAGTGTACCAATTTTCATACTTTTTTCACAATTTGAACGATTTTTTCCTAATCTACTGTACTACTACTGTACTACTACTGTACTAGTATAGGTACATTCGCATAGGAAAAGGATTGTGGCGGGATGCTACCGCAGCTATCAAACACTAGATGGCGCCAGGGATTCATATTACAAGACAATGCGCCCAGTCGTCCATCACCTCTTGTTGCAACCTTCTGCCCATCTTACACCTATAGATGAGTAATCTAAATTATGACGCAAACGCGGTGGAGTCGTTATGCAGCTTTACCAAATGTCTAAAGAGCTGCTACCAGAATTATTATAAATAAATTCTCTTATTGGGTTTTTATGTTCTTTCTTTTGTGTTTTATGTTTTTTATTTCTTTCATGTCATTACTGAAGCTCTACATAGAAAACGATCAAGGAATGTACGTACATTAAACCAAAACCAAGGTTTCAAATTAAAACTCATTGCATGTTTTATTATATACATGTTGCTAATTATAATGCAGACTGTACATGATTCTTATTTACATGATTGAGTAAAACTTCAAACTTCAAACTTCAACATAGACAATATGACCTAGCGACATGGGTGAATTTCATGCACGATAACCAAGACAGAATTATTAGTATAAGACACATGTATCTCACTAACAAAAGTACACCGTCTACTTTACAAGTTTCAAGAAAAAATACTTCAATGCGGTTTTTCGTATTATTATATAAAATATTACCTTATGTGTATACATGGAGCAAATTTGACTTGCATATTTCCATTCGAGTTCGAACTAACTCTTAGAATAGGTAGCATGTCTCGCCTTCCGTCATTCATTCTGGGGTGATACATTCAATGAGTGCTTGACTAATTACGTTCATTGTTCGTCTACGTTACCCTGAATAAATCACAGGATTTCTGCTCTACATGTGCAGCATGTAAACACCTATCAGGTGAAAACTAACAGTGTGATGAAATAATTTACGTACACAGTAAGCCTATACATGAGCGTCTACATGTCAGCACAGTATTCGCTACTTGTGTTAATATATTACTACGTGTTACCTGATGATTAATGGTTATTACTGGACGTGATAGTATCGAACAGGTAGATATCTGATATTACAGGTATGCACAATTAACCTGATGGTATATACCTGATTACAGGTGTGCACATAAACACCTGACAGAGAAATGAATTACGTTATCATGCCAATCACGTTACTTTCACTTCTCTTCTGCCATGCTTATCAAATCACTACTGGCTGGACACTTGAGGATTCTGTTTTATGAAGGTTTGCCAACGCAGGTGAATATAATCACAGTAAGTTTCACAACACCAGGTAGGCAAGCGGCCAGGCAACGAGCTTGAAGAGCTGGCACACAGACAGGCAGCCAGGTTGCTTAGGCGTAGGCATGTGGATGGACAGAGCATTCTTATAGGCTGCCAGGCGTGCTTGGATATAGGCAGTCTTGCAAGGTAGGCTTGCTTGGATGTAGGCAGTCTTGCAGGGTAGGCTTGCTTGCATGCATGCAGGTCGTTCTGACTGCTGGCAATCAGGCTCATGAATATGCCGGCAGCCTTGCAGTGAAGGCAACCGTATAGTCTTACAGGGCAGGCAGCCTTATAGTCTTACAGGGCAGTCAGCCACACCTTACAAGTATGTAGGCAGTCTTGGCGGTCGCACCGGTTAGGACCTGTAGGTCTTGATGACGTCGCGTATGATGGCGCGGCACATCGGACACACGCCTGCGCCATTCTTCCACTGCTGCTCGGCGCACGCGTAGCACATGCACATGTGCCCGCACGTGTACAGCACCGAGTCGACGCCACGCTCGTAGCAGATCACGCACTCGCTGCTGCCGCCGTCGTCCGGCTGGGACGCGGTCACCGCCGTCGCCGCCGGCAACGGCTGCCGCGGCGACACCACCGGTCTCGGCGACTCTGGAATGTAGGACGTCGCGTGCGTCGACGTCGGTGGAGCCACCTCGCTGACCGCCTGCGCGAGATGCGGATGAGGCATCTGCGGGTAGGGCGGCGGAGACGGGTGGGCGTGGACGGCGGGGGATGACGGGGCGGT